TGGGAGAGAGACACAAGGCATTCGGCGGGCCTCTCTCTCGTTCGGTGACTCATCGTTACGTTACCGAGCGTTACACTTTTTCAAAGTGACTTCCAGCCGCAACCTAATTTAAGACGTTGTCACGTCAATATTAGTATTAGCAAAAAATAGAAAATAATTTCCAAATTATTTTCTATTGTACGATTCTTTAACGTAGATGTTCTAGGTATCTATTTACCACTAATCTTTGAGTACCGCTACGATAAGTGACCAAAGTGAACAAATTTGAGTGTTTGTTTGTAAATAATGACACACTATAGCGTAAAGATAATTCATTGAATTCCGTCTTTCGAACAAAAACTATAAATTATGATTAATTCTAATTTTAATTAAATGCTTCGTGGTTAATCACACATTAAACAATACGAGACAAATATGCATATCATATGTGTATATAATTATAGAAATTGATGTCGTTACATTCAGTATCACCAAAGCATATTCGTTAATTAGAAGCGGCGTATAATAAGTAATGTAATAGATTTAAGTTCCATTAGAAAGGTTGTTTAATGCTTTTAAAAAATTGGCATGGGTAGGAAACATAAAATTATTCTTGTCAACGGCTAACAGCGAATTTATGTTTGTACAAATCGATCACACGTGTCTATACTTTTTAAATTCAAAATTTCTACATAAATATCACTAAGAACAATGTTCACCATTATTCGTTAATGTTTTGACGTCTAAACTAAAACGAAGAAGAACAAAGCAAATTAAAGATAAGAAAGCTGTGCATGAACTCTACCAATTCTCAATAGTACCGAAAGTTTATATTAAGCAAAGAAAATAAGTATGAAGATTAACTGAGAAAACAAATTTATGAAAAAAGGCTATCTTAGAACACATATGACTTATCACAACAAAAACCAAAGAGAATAAATAGGTCACATTAGCAAAGAGCAACGTAGAAACTAAAAGATTGCGGGTGAACCACACCAACTTCAAGAAGCAAACACTGAAAGCTCTGCACCAAGCAAAGAAAACAGAGAACGAAAGACAAACGCAAAAAACTTGCCCTTTCCCACTGTATTTATTAACACATTATAGTATCTATTACCTATCCTGAATCCAGTTTCTGGCTAAAGGTTGCACGAATACCGACTGGCTCTACACTCCCGTCACTTCTAATCCAGACTAGAACCTACACTTCCCCCGATATTTACGCTCCCTTTGGTGTATTGCGACTTGTCCCTTTCAGTCATTGCGACTGGCTGAAGGTCGAGCGATGATGATGATGATGATGAATGTTTTGACGTCTAAACTAATATTGTAATTCCAACCAGAACAAATGTATTATGGTCTCCCGCATAAACGCATAGCAAGATATAAAAAGTGCTCTATACGTACTGTAATCCACCTTCTCAATATGCTGCCACATCGACAACACGTCCGGAAACGCATACACACGCCGTGTGCCGCGCACTTAACGTCCGAATATCTCTGCAAGGCTATGTGTAGCGTCGTCAAAAGTTTACTGCTTTTCCCAGAAGAGACGGCGATAAAAACAGATCTAGCACAGAGACGCACGGCAACGTGTTTATCGTACATTGTAGCGGATCGCGGCCGCTCCCTTATGCTAAACCGAAGTGTACAACTTTATTATGTGGAATTGCCCCAGCGCCGCGCGTCCCGTCGCGGGGGATACGCGAAGCCGGGAGAGCTAAGCAAACTTCCATCCCAACAAAAAAATACCCCACGATAAAAGCCCCACTAACGTATTTAACGCAAGAACGAAAAGGTCGACACTTTGCCGGCTGTTTATTTTTAGCAGCCGTCTGCAAAGAGAATTCGTAATGTTAACAGTTTGATAGTTATGACCCGATATATATTTAGCCATACTAATATTAAACTGGCCAAGAGCATGTAGAAGCATGCTCGTTACAGGGTTCCGAAGCCATTAGCCGAAAAACTAATAGAAACTCATTGTACGCATAAAATGTATGTTAATGTTTATTTTCTTTTAACATTTACCTATATGAATCTTTATAGTTAAAACATTTAAAAGTTTGTTTAGAGAATGAACCATGTTAGACTGGGTGATGAGGATTGCGAAGAATGGGGGAGAGGAAGATATGGTCAGAGAGGGTAAAGTACTGGATAGATTTAGATGAAATTTAACATACAGGTAGAATAATTTGTGGTTTACATACATGGTAGTTTATACATCCCACTTTTGTGTTCCTGTACAATAATTTACAAAGAACTGGAATCGACATAGAAAGCGGGAGCGATTTCGAAATTGAGAGTTATAGCGCTACTAGAAAAGAGTAGGACGCACAACTGGAATAGAGGACAAGACCGAGCGATATAACTATGGAATCAGACTTGAATTGGAAACAAGTTCGGATTGGCATTAATGATAGCAAAATTATATATATATAAAGTGACGACATACAGTGGTAGAGTTATGCTGTGGTCCATTTGGCTAGAACATATTTTGCAATAGTTACATTGATATATTGTTATTTTAAATATTTATTACTTGACGAATAGTCAGAGATGTTAATAAATGCGATTTCGTATTTCATATTATATTTAACCCTGCTGTTTTGAAAATCGAAATTTGTATCTTAAATTCCTTTTTAATACCTCATTTCCTACGATTATTTTGAGACTGATTGAAAGATTAATGCGAAAATAAACCAATCTGATAAAATAAAAAAACTTTAACTCGACTACGGCGAAATCCAAAAGTTATTAAAGCTCCCTTTTATTAAAATATGATAAAAATATTGTGTGACAGGTGTGCATATCAGAAGACATTGTTATTACAGTAATAAAAATGGTCAAATGCTAAGTTAGTTTTGCAGCCTGCGTATGAGACAAACACACCGTCGACGGGTCTCATTGACATTATTATCAATTTTATCAGGTAGGTATATTATGCCTGTTTTTGTTGTTATATATTGACAAAATGTTTACTATCACTGTGTCTTTGTACCGCAATAACAAATTGTTAAAATTCAACAAACTACTCCCTTAAAGAACCACACAACATATAATAGTCCTAAAGTACTTGCTTTAATTTTGAGAAATAGACGAAAATTTTTACGAAAATGTCTCTTAGCTTCTTTAAGAGCGTACTTTCCGTTAGTCTTAGTGTAAGAATTATTTCGTTTTGAAAAAACATAGGTATAGACAAACTGTACCCAAAACTAGTGCCGCGTAGTTTTTAATTTTTTTGGATTTTCAATTTGCTGTCGCGATAAATTAGATAATTTTAAGAGCTTCAAAGGCCGTTATGAATGTTTTGTTGTTTCCTTAAAATATTTGGTTTCATATAAAAATATGGAGAATGACAAACTTTAAGAAAGTGACTGTTAAATATTAATCTTCAAGGATACAAAGAAAAGGCGTTGGTACCAAAGAAAAAGTATTGGATTTATGTAAATCTGGAGAGGAAAATTATTCTTCACATTATTTATTACTGAAAATGAATGTATAAAATTGATATTTCTTCCCTGTCTGAGTTTTGTGCGTTATATATATATATAAGCTTCTCGGTCTTATTTGTAATATTGAATATATATATTCAATATATATATATATTCAATATTACAAATAAGGCCGAGAAGCTTATATATACATATTCAATATTACAATATTACAAATAAATTTATATAATAGCCGAGAAGCTTTAGAAAATTTTATTTTTGAAATTTATGTATGTGTAATTGAATAAAAAAAATTAAACTCTGACGTATCTTTGGGGCACTAGGTTGGAACGAAGCTCCTTTCGCTATATGAAAAGATATTTTATGAATTGAATAATAACAATGCAATTAATTAAAACGTTTGAAAGTAATTAAATAAATAATAGTAACATAAGTGAATAAATGGTAAGAAATATTTATAAGTAGTAAATAAACATTATTTTTTTAAGTTTTGAATTAAAAAAAAAAGCAGTAAACAGCGTCATCTGTTTTGTTTATAAAAAGGCCTCGTTAAGTTCTTTAGTTTGCACAATTATGTAAATAAAAAAAAAATTGGAAAATCCAAAAGTGCACGCCTCATAGCGGTTACTCCATTTTTACTAATGATTACAAATTACTTGGTATGCATTGTTCAATACTCTAAATTCTACATATTAACAAAAATTTATACCGTAATCGTCTTTTTTTTTTAAATTGAAATAAATAAAAAAAAAATATTAACCGTGGTGTCAAAATTTTTACTTAAACATTGAGAATAAAAAAAGCAGTCACGCTTCGGGTTTCTTATGTTCTCTAGATTAAGATTTAATAAAAAAAAAAATTTTTACTAAAAAACTCGTCAAAATTTTGTTTATTAAATATCAATTAAACTACACCGAATTAGACAGCGAAATTCAATAGGCTTCTATTCAGATGCATACTAAAGCGAATGAAAAAAAAAAACACTCGATTAGTGAAGTATTTCATTCGTTATCATGACCACATACAGACACACGGACGTCCACGAAAAACATTTTTAAAACAGTTTTTAAAATATGTTCTATAACAAAATGTGTTTTGAAGATATTACAGATATTAAAATGAGTGATTATTCTTGCCGTTTGAGAGTATACATTATTTTAGAAGTGCAACATGTAATAAATAAAGACATTTAAAGTTCAAAAAATCACTCGTTTTTCGTAAGGCGAGAGTAGAGCACTACCTCATGCGCTCCGCTTATGAGGCGTGCAATATGAAGTCACTAATAAATGTCACTTTATCATGTTTATAAAAAAAAATATTTATTAACAATTTAAAATTGAATGATTTCCAGAACTGAAACAATCTATCCAAGAGTTTCATTTGACATTTTAAGAAAAAAAATTAAATTATAAATCATATACAAGCACAATGAAATAAATTAACAACCTTAAAAAGTAATGAAACGAAAAATACAACAAAAAGATAAGAGAATGATATTAAAATATTATAATAAAACCAATATTTTATTATAAATTACCATAAAAACAATGGAATACTAAAAAAAGCCAACATCACGTCGTGTTCCCAGGCGATCTACCATCCAAATAGTACTGACCGTGCCTGACGCTGCTTAACTTCGGTGATAGGATAAGAACCGGTCTATTCAATGTGGTATGGGCGTTGGCAAATCAATTCATAAAAATGTTAACTAAAGCAACAGCCTTCAGCGTTTTCGTTGCGGTTACACTTTTTGCATGTAGCTCCCATCCGCCGAGCGTCTGAGTGTAATGTGTGATAAGAAACTTCGTACTAAAAAAAATTTGAATTTATTTTCGGTTAATACTATCAACAAGTGATTTTCATTTTCTGTGTGAAAACCTTAATTGTTGTAGTTTTTGTCCATTGGGAGCGTTGCAATCTATTTTGTTTCCCGCATCCTATACCTTGAACACAAGCAATGGAAGATCCACCTGCTTCCGAACTGTCAATTGCTTCATGATGTTTCTCTTATTAACAAGCGGTATTGTTGAATTAACAAATATACCTACTATGTTTAAAAAAATCATTGGTGCATGCTCGGAATCGAATCCTCAATTTTGTGCCACGACTGTTGAATTTACAATCGAAATTCCTACCAATGAGCCATCGGTATTTTAAAACACTTAACAGACTTTTATTCAAACCTATACAAGAATATGATAAAAAATTTGAGGACTTTTTGACAGTTTGAAATATACTACCGATGACGATGCGATATCTGTCACTCCTTTCGAATCAATATTCAATTCTTCGGATAGAGATTTGTAGTGGAGGGGCAGATCCGAGTGTCAGCGGCGGGTTGCATGCTTATGTTAATGCATGTTGCAGGGGAGCGTCGATGACGATGCATTTCATAAGTTGGTAGCAATACATATATAAATTAAATGGATTTCATATTCATCGCGGTTATTGTACAAAAAACGAATTAATTTTTTAATACTTTTCAGTCTTTATTTTGGACTTTAAAACTAATTTTATAGTTTCGGAGAGAAATCTAAACTAAAACAATTTCTGGGCCCAGCATCACATTCTGATTAAAAAAATGTATTATTATCAAGTATACGTCAAAAAATTTGGATACTGCTATTAATCGACTTAGAATTTCCTTCATGTCATCATACCAATGTTATCATATTACTGCATCGTTATCGAATTTATATGTGAGGGAATTTCAACTCATTAATTTATCGTAGAGTAGGTAGATCAAAATCTTTAATAATTATCATTTTAATATATCACGGCATATAACTTATTTCGCTTGAATGGTGAAGTGGTGACAGATCACATTTTCATCAAGAACCAGCCATCACTTTTGAGTACTTTTTAAGGTCACACTTTTACAGACGTGTTCATAGCTCTGGGAAAAAAAATATTCATTTTTTGTAAGAATTCAATTGCAATAAAATCTATTTGGTTGTGGTCTCATCGTAAAATGAAGATCGGTGTTTACTAACTGAAATTTTCCTCATAACCTATTAATTTAAGGATAACAAAAAGCAATTATAAAATTGTCTCAAAATTCGTCTCCATTAAAAATACAAATGTAAGAAAGACGCTTGCTTTAAATTCAAAGTTTGTTAGTATTGTTTTGTTGGCGAAAAAGACGCTCGACAGACCATCGTTTGATACTGAATTTCTCTAAGAGATAAAAATGGATACCCCATCTATCCCGATTTTCACAAGGGACACTGAGTTTCAGCATTAGGTAAGATACGAATCCTTGCTGTGGATTACGTTATAAAAAACTTGCCGATGTTACTCTAATAAGAAACGCGTATCGTGTCGTAACACAACAACGCGTGCTTTTTATTATAGTAAGAATTATACCCCGAGATTTCGTAGCATATTTATATTATATCCTTGATATTTCAAATGGTACAGTGATACGTTAAAGGAAGTACCTGTGATAACTTTGTATACAATGAAGTAATATCATACTGGTGAAAGTAACAAGGTTATTTGATTTTAAAACCACAATCTGATACTTTCTTCGGTAAAATAAAAAAAAAACCGGCCAAAAGCGAGTAGCACTCAAGCATCAAAGATTTGGATGTATATAGGCATTTCATTCATGAATAGCCTTAAAGATTTTATCTGTTTTTGATAATGGCGAGATATTTATTGGTGTCAGGAATTCCGAAACATTAATTTTAAAAAAATTGATTTTTTAAAAATATCCCCATATTTAAAAATCTTCCCTTTTTTAAGGGAAATTAAAATGTAATTCTATGTATTGGTGTAAGTCACATGTATATAATTATAAATTAATGATTTCCAGATTTTCTCCTTTACTTGTGCTTTAGTTTATTTGTTCTTCGTGACAAATTTCATGATTCCAACTCAATGGGAAATATACTATAGATTTTGATGACCTTAGTGTCATAATATGCGACATAAATTGCTATTTTCTCGTTCAATTTTTGATTACGTTGACATAGAAGCTTGATTATGCAAATCTTCAAAGGACCGCAGGCAAGAGTGCTTGATATCAATTTCAAATTGTACCTCTACACATTCCTAACAAAAAAGGGTCTTTGACAGAGACGGGTAGATGGACATAGAAGTGATCCTAAAAGGGTTCGTTTTTCCTTTTGAGGTACGGAACCCTAAAAAATTGCATCTGAATGGACATATGGATTAGTAATTGATATTTTTTAACTGTCAGTAATAAATCTTAAAATGGTTATTGTTACAAATTGTGAAATCTTGTTAAATTGTATATAATATTTTTTGAATAAGAGAAACCCTGAACCAGTAAATATTTGTGTATTTTTCCTACAAAGAAACTATTTTTCACTGTTTTTTGGTAATGTGTACAAAGAACTAGCCCAAGACGAAACGTCTCCTTTGTATAATTTACGGATTTAGCGCAGGATCAGTAAGGGTAGTTACAAAAGCAATTTAAGCGTTTTAAGTCGGAAAATTTAGTGTGAAATACTAGTCTCGCTCTAGTCATTTTGTTACAAATAAAGTGAACGCCTTCTGTGGAAAAGTTGTGGAAGACCCGTCATATTAGTAGTGGCAAACTGGGTATTTCTCATAAAAAAACTATAATATGTTAGATCATTTACAAAATTCAAGAAATTGAAAAAGCTCTATGTATGAATACCAATAATCATATCTAAAAAAATATATAAACCGTTTCTACTTGCGATCTTTATGAAAACGAATCAAATTCAAACCATTTTGAAATGATTAAAGCGATAAAAATTAGATTATATGCGACAAGAATGTCCAGAAAACATCGTTGTCGAAGCAGAGCCAAGCTCTAGAAAACCTGGTTTTACGCGAAATAAGGTAATATTGTAGGTACAGTGAGACTGCAAATGTATCGACCATTACAAGCTTCTACAGCCAAGCCAAACCGTAGACTTTACTCTCAGCAAATAATAAGATTAAAATGAGTAATCGTAACTAAATGGCCTTTATTGACAAACGAAAATGGTGTGTTGTTCCATTACGATAATGCCGGGCCATTTATAGACCAGACCTCACCTGAAGTCGAATTACTATCTGTTTCGGTCAACTAAGAATAATTTAGATATCATAAGATTAAAATAACCATTAATAACATTTTTTTTTGTAAAAGATCATGAATATCTACAGTATTGCAATCACGGCATTACCGACAAGTTGACAATAAGTAATCCACCAAAACAATACTAGCTTCACGTATAACGTATAAGTAAATATGTGAAAGCTTACATAAAAAAAAAAAAGTATTTCAATTGTATAGAACTTGCGTAGATTTTCTCCTTGATCTATCAGTAATATACTTATCATAGTCGAATCAAGTATAGTGATCAACACAATTAAGTGCCCAATATAATATTCGTTACAAGTAATGATCGTGTCCTTAGCATTATTGTTTTTTGTGCTTTATGTTTCAGAACACAATTAAGAACTGATTACGCTGTTTCGAAAACGGAACCTAAACATTAAATAAATATGTTTTCTCATATGTCACAATTTTCAGCAGCCAAAATGGAAAAGCTTGCATGAAGCGAACTATAAAGCAAGAAAGGTATGCAAAGATCTGTACCACGAGCTGAGCTGCTCTGTGGTCTCTATCTGCCCGTTTGGGAAAAGGGGCGTAAATTTATAAAGATCAAATAAAAACAACCATTCAAAACTAAAAAAATATTGAATTTTATAACCGCGATCCCTAAAGACAAATAAGACGATAAACATGTCCATAATTATAAAATAAAAATTGGCCAAGAGCATGTCCGACCATGCTCACAATAGAGTTCCGAAGCCATTATTGCAAAGAAATGCACTACAGATTAAAATAATACGTTCTTACACTTTTTTCATATTTTCTGAACATGAAAAAAGTGGAGTACTTTACTATTTTTGGAGTAATTATTTCAAAAAGAATTTACTTAAGCTTGCTGAAAAAAAATTTGTTTCAGCTTTTATTACATGTATAGAGTGCGTCATTTACAAATATTTATTTTTGTTATTTAACTATTAAACTAAGTAGCAATTTACAGAAGACACCTATACTCCAGATTTCATTAATATACATCTTATAGTTTTTGAGTAAAATGCCTGTGACATACGGAAGAATGGACAGACAACGAAACTATAAGGATTCCGTTTTTGTCATTTTGCCTCGGAACCCTAAAACAAGTAAGCCGCGCGTTTCGAGGTAAGCAATAACAGTCCTACTCTTTTCTTTATTTAAAGGGAGTGTGATTTTCCTATTTTATTAATATGTTTATGACAGTAGATCGCAACAATAATTTAAGTTATATTATTAATAGTAGTCTACAATTTCTTTCTGTCGATTCATTTTGTAAGATTATGTGAATTCCAAATTTATTCGGGAATATAAAAAACAGACGGTTACGGTAATACGTAAGTTCAATATAAACTGAACGCATAAAGCCTCCGAACGCTAATGAAATATTTTATGCAAACCCGCCGGGATTATTCGGCTGGCCCGCGCTGACTGGCAAGTCAGACCTTCTTGTATTTATTACCAATTAATCGCAAATCGACTCGGATTAAGACTCGATTCCCTTCACAGTCGAACATTTCGCTTAATTAGAAACTGGAAAGTTTTGATTAAAATTTGCTGACTTTAAAAGCTGGAATGAAGCTATGATTTAAACGAACTCAATAACATCTGTAACT